CTTAAGGGTCGAATCTCCGAAAATGCTTAAATACATATTTCCTTATTTGTAATGAAGAGAATTAAAATGTACCAGGTTTCACGTGACGATCTAAATTTACAGTAGATATTGGTCCTATACAAATTTCATCACCCCTTTTTAACCCCCTTAGGGGAGAAATCCCTTCTTAAACGATGCCTCCAGTATAAAATGAACATTCTCTCCAAATTTTAACTTTCTAGCATTAGCGGTTTGGGCTGGGCGTTGATAGGTCAGTCGGGACATTGCCTTTTATATATAAAGATTTTAAACACAAAACAAATTTTGAGGACTTCATATCCAATAAGTAGATTTAATCCAATGTAAATTTTACAAAGTTTTTTATCAGTAGGTATCTACAATGTGGGGAATCCCTAAGTCCAGGAAACAAATTTATCCTGCATAGTTTCGATTCGGTCTTTGTGTACCTAATAGATTTACGACTAAATTATGCACCCATATTCTATAATGGAACGAACAAAAGTTGAAAAGAAAACCGTCAAAAGGCGAATATTTTTAAATCACATGAGCTGATTTATTTTCAACGTTTGTTACCCATGTTACAAAAAAGAATCGAGAACGGGTGTGTAAATTTGCAAACGTTGTGTATTGTCTTAAGTACTCACATCTAGGGTACCGACGATTCATTAAACCATTCTTTTCTATGGTGCGCAGAAAAATCCTTTAGACTAACCGAACGATATTTTGGTAAAATTTGCAAAATGAGAGAACAAGTAACACGGCTAATCCTACTGTACTGTGAAAAACATTTTACATCCCTGCAAATCTAGTTCAGCGTGTAATCTCCAAAAATCTTTGCATAGAAAATGAAGCAAGGGCAACTGAATGAAGCATTTTGCAGTAACACCAAACTGACAATAAGACAATGCGATTTGTACATTTTTAGCGGCATCGCCAGACGGCTTAATAAACAAAAACGCTATCGTAGAAATATAAAATTTTGGGAAAATAATATGATAAGAGCCCTAGAAAAAAATTATTTATATGCCTTACTTCCGGAGAGAGTAGATTCTCGTTATTAAACAAGTCAACCCATTAGACAAATTGTAAAGAAAAAATTGTACAATTAAAATTTTTTATTTGCATTCGCGTCATGTGCAGTTCATATAAATCTTTTGACCTTCTAGTATAAACACACACATGAATAAATAGTAGGGATGTACCGACTAGTGGCCGACCGGTCGGATAAGCCGACTATTCGGCCGTTTTTCATCGTCGGCTGGCAGTCGGCGACTAGTCGGCTAAACAGCCGATCGGTCGGCTACTTTTATTAAAATTAAAATAGTATATAAAACAATTAAACCCGGTTTACAGAACCTCAATTAAATATATATTTAATTGCGATTTAATTTTTAACCCCGCGTTAAAGTACGGTGTGACTTACTCTACACGAATCAGACGTCGCTATTGGCCTTGTTGAATGCGCGATCAACTTAATCTCAGTTAAAATATTGTATAAACTGGTCCTAAATTGTGTTATTCTCTATTTTTGTACTGAGTTACTAAAAAAATTAAATGTTAAAATTATCCAAACAAATTTAACACATTTTTGGAAAACAAAGGAACTTTAGTTATTCCTTTTATTAAAATAAAACAAATTTTTAAGGTAGTCAGAGAAATAGAAAAAAAAACACCCTGTCTGTCGCATTTATAAACCGGTTTTAGCAAAGCCGAACAGTCGGCCGACTATAGTCGGTTTTTACTGGCCGAACAATCGGCTAGTCGGTTAGTCGGCCAGACCTACAGTCGGTACATCTCTAATAAATAGTAATAGTGGAATAGGTTTACTGGAGATACCACGTAAAAAACGTGCCTATAATACTCTACCTCACAGGTGGTGCGGAAAAGAGTATCAAAAAATTAAATTTAAATAAATATGATTGTTCAGGTAAATAAGTGGTTAGTGAAGTGATGAAAATCTAAATCTTTTCAGTTTTGTGTATTGCTATTGCTTAATATATAAAATGACAGATTAATAAAAAATATTTGAATAATTTTTGAAAGAACATGTTTTGGTAGAATGTATACAATTATAAAAATTTGCATACTTTTAAATCAAATTATGTCAGCAATGAAAGAAGTCGACTTGTAAAAGAGTTTCAACAGGGCCGGCTCAACACGGTAAGCGAAAGATGCACCGCATCGGGGCGCCAATGACAAGGGGCGCCGGGCGGCGTGCACCGCCTATGCTTTTATATTAACTCTATAAAAATAAACATTGAATCACTACGTACAAAATATTATAGCAGGAACAGACCAAGGCGCCCATCGAAAACTTTTCGAAAAAGCTACAGTTTAATATTTCACTATGGGGAGTGGTTCACAAAAACAGATCATAAGAAGTCACTTTCTGACTGTAATAATTGAAAAAAGTACACCTTTGGGTTGGGTGATTGGACCTTTAGATCAATACTGACAAAAAATACCAGATTTATGATTGCATTATCTGGGTAACAATTTGACGAAACAGCGGTATGACCAAAACCAGATGTTTTTCCTAACATTTGTCACGTTTGTTTTTACCATAAAACTCCATGTCGGCACATACTTAAAAATTTTATTTTTCAAGTCTAGTCGGTTGGTTGTGCTGATTGTTCAACAGTTTTGTTATATTTTTCACTGTTCCTGTTTGTAACCGAATTTGGTTCTGTTGTATCATTTTGTGGCTCTTTGTCATCATTAATTTTAAATTTAAATTTCGAATAACATTGAGGTAAGACTAAATTAAAAATAACTTTGAAATCGTTTCAATTTTACAATATTAAAAATTGAAAACTTTTTGTAATATAAATATTTTTATACTTATACTATGTAGAAAAGTTTTTGCCTGCAGCTCCGCTTGCGTGGAATTCACAAATCATTTTTCATCGCGTTCACTCCCCCCCTCCTTAGTGAACCCGTCTAACTTAAAAACTCAGAAATTTTTGTCCCCGGTAGGGGCGGAATTTCAAAAAATCCTTTCTTAATGGGTGCTTGTAACACAAAATGAACCTACTGTCCAAATTTCATTTTTGTAGCTTAAGTAGTTTAGGCTTTGCGTTGATAAATCAGTCAGTCTGTCAGTCAGGACAAACACTTTTATATACAGTATGTCCCCGGATTGAGTTCACAAGAGGGAAAAAAAAACTGTATTTTCTATTTTACAAAAAAAATGACATAGGAATAACATTTTTAGCTTAATTCAAAACGAATAAATCTGCAATTAAAATTTTAATACTATCAGGCTGTGTCCTTAAAATCGAAAAAAACTAAAAGGAACGAAGAACTGAGAAATATGAAAAAATTAATTTTAAAAGTACAAACCAGGAATATTGAAGTTTTAATTGCAGATTTATTCGTTTTGAATTAAGCAAAAAATGTTATTCCTATGTCATTTTTTTGTAAAATAGAAAATACAGTTTTTTTTCTCTTGTGAACTCATACCGGGGACATACTGTATATATTAAGATTGATTCATCATAATTTTATGTATGTTTGTTAATAAAAATATCGCTCTACAAAAATATGTGATTACAAAATTTTGTTTTTTTTTTACAAACATTTTTTAGAGGGCGTTGAACAGTAAGTTGCATCGGGGCGCCTGGTCCCTTAGAGCCGGCCCTGAGTTTCAACAATGTTGGTCAGCTAAGAGTATTTATGAGTTTTATGATCTAAAGTACCTAAACTGATTACCTGAAAGGGTCGGTCGGCAAGGCTCCCTGCTGTGTAAAACTCAACCATTTATTGAAACGGATCTTTGTAAATAGGGTTGCCTAGTTTCACTTTATTTTCATTATTCAGTATTTTTTTAAAAAGCAAATATTTTGATAAATATAAATTTTAAACAAAAATGACCGGGTCTTCGCATTGAGCTCAATGTTGTCTTTGCACTGATATAAAAGTTGAAGCGAAAAATGCTCTCTCCTCGTCTAAAAATGCAATTTCCTTCGAATAATGAACGATTAATTAAATACTAAACAATCACTTATTTCAAAAAATATTGTGTCTTCCCCGGAGATTTTGACATAATCTATCAATTGAAATGTCGATCTTTTTTTCTAAGTTGAAATTACGCCCGTACAATGAAATTCTATTTAGCTCATTTTTCGGTCTGCTACTGGGTACCCTTAAGAACGCAAACAGCTTAAAGTTGTAGCAAATAATAGCATTTTGCTGTGCTTCTTAAGGCAGAACCACACCAGCAGGTAGGTACTTGGGCGAATCTCTGGTAATGTGGTTGGATTGTGTTGCTCGCTACTTGTCGAATCTCGAATGTTCGGGGTTGGCCCTATCCGTAACAAGTTGGTATTTTGCACAACTTCAACATGGACGAATATTCGGACGAAAACGACGAGCCCCTAGGCTATTCGGCATTTACCAAGCACTTGCTTGCAATTGGAGAGTACCTACTGTTGTTCCACCTGTACTCTGTCAGTTTTGTTTAAAAATCTTTTATGTCACAGAATGCTACTTTTAAAAAGGGGATTTTTACTACTTATTTCGTGATTTTTAAATTTTAATTACCAGTTTAATATAAAATGTGCAATTTTAGAACAATTAGTGTTAAAGTTTCCAACATAAATTGTACGATTTTGTGATCAAAATTTAGTTTTTTTTCATTCTACATCAATCTACACAATAGCAATAAATTTTGATTTGCTATTTATGTTGCTTAAGAAAATATTGAAGCATGTGAAAATTTTTATAGATAAAGCTTACGAACTTTCTTAAATAAACTAGAAACTATATACAAAAGTTGTATATAGTTGAAAACTAGACCTCAAATCCCTTGTAAACGTACTTTTTGGAACTACCTAGCTATTGGTTTCAGAGGTTGTCTTTATATAGCGTTGTTCAACAAACGTTCGCACTTCAAAAAGAATTATCTTTCCTGTCAACAATTGATCTCAAAATTACACAATTTATTCCAGTTAACAAAACCAACTCTTGTATTCAATAGGTACTTAAAATCACTTAGAACATTTATTCACAGGTTAATTCCTTTTTTTTTGGTACTTTATTCTCACATTAAAAATCGACACATTACAGTATTTAATAATGTAAATAAAAAAAATAATTTTAAAGGGTGCAAACTCATTCTGAATGCTCGTCAAAATTCACTATTGAAGGCTAGGACTGTCTGTACCACTACCACTGTTGTTTGAGTTTTCAGCAGCAGAAGTAGCAGCAAATTTATTTTTCTTCGCGCTTTTTGTTAAACTTGCCACCTCTTTTAAAAGATTGCTGATGCGCTTATTTAAAATTTCTACTTTATCGTCACATTCTTTCTGGCAGTTTTTCATTTTTGCTCTTAGTTCGGACTCTATTGTAAAGTGTTTCGCCTTGAGTTCTGTTATCTACAATAAAATAAGTTATATATCCTGTTAAAAAAAACATTAAATATAAACCATTTTATCTTTGTTCAATAATTGGGTATCTTTCATACTAAGCTGTTTTTGTAAGCTTGCAATTTTTTCTTTCAACTGAGTCATCGCTACTACATGATCAGAACTGTTAGGATCGAGTTCACCTCGAATTATAGCCGGACTTGCGTTATTCCGAGATACCTTGTTCGGAATTCCATTGTCGTTATCCGTGGCGGGAATTTTAGTCACATCAACACGATGTGGTCGCTTGTTGTGACTTCGTAACCTAAAAAAGCGAAACAGTGATTACAAGTACTGTGCGTGGTGAATCAAATGGCTGCGAAGTTGCGAAGGTATTTTCACATTTTAAGTTCTTATTATAAGAAAAAAAATTGTAAATTGCTGTTAGCGTACTTCTCAATTTATAAGATTTTTTTTAAAACATTAACCGAAATAACAAAAATTAATCATTCACAACTAATCTACTTTTTAGAAAGATGATTTTATGCAGCTGAATAATCCAGTAAAATTCAAAGCTTACACTAAAGACATTCTTCTTTATTGTGAATTTTTAGAATCAAACTAAATCGTCCGCGAAATTTATTTCAGTTAATATAGTATATCTAGTTCGTTCATATTCCACAGTTGAATCTAAAATTAATATTGGTCTCACGTTACTGGAAAATTTTGGAAATAAAACGCTAACACATTAAAAGCTTCAACGGAACTCTTTTACTTTCGAAACTTTTTTTTGACAGGTGATTGAGATCTGCACTGTGAAGTTATTTTGTCACACTTCCACCATAACATACTACTGTTTGTTAAGGAACCAAATTAAAATCGAAGTTCATTTCCTCTATCCATGGACAAAATTTTAGTAGCACCTTGCGACAACCGCTGAGAATATGTAACGTATTAACTTTTTTGTAATTTATTAGTGTTGGTGTATATTTTAATTTAACCAGAGTTATTTGCTAATTAAACGAACCTAGAACAATTACACTAACTGCGATTAAAAATTAGATCTGTATTTCTGAATATGGTCCATTGCAGTATCTCGTGCTGAGGCGAACTACAGAAAGGCTTATTTTTGCCGCATCAGGGGTAGTGTTAACATATTATTTTGCAATTTTTACACAACTTTAATTAAGTACTTAGTTGTGTCTGTTCTCTGGATCAAAATAAATGTGAGCTGTTTCGCGTATACATATTACAGGTTGAAGTTAAATATTGAATCTCTGAATGAATGGATAAGAACTAACAACTGGAAAGTTTAATGAATCGTTTCCATGAAATTAAAAACAGATCAAAAACACCAATCAGTGTTTTTGATCTGTTGGCCTAAGGTGTTACCTGCCTGACCAACACCTTAGGCCAACACATTAGACATTAGCCAACACGAATAAGTTTCGAAAAATTAAGCTCAATACGTAGGAAAAAAAAACTGGTCAAAAAAACACTTTTGTATTGTGTTTACTATCGATTTTAAGTAGTAAAAAAGGACATACTTATTGATACATGCAGCATTCATAAAAAGTAAAAAATCTTGTAAAGACTGATAAAACGGAAAAATTGGTCAAGCGTTATTTTGACAGAACTTCCCTACTTCCCTCGCCCCTGAATTACAATGAAACATATCCAGCATATTCGAAAAATTATAAAAATTGAATCTGCAAATTTTTGTTTATTTACGAGAATCTCTATAAGTTGAAATAAACATATTATATAAGTATGTAATGTTAAAGTAAATTTAAAGAAGCATGCTACGCGTATGTTTCAAATGACTTTCCACTTTACAAAATTTTGTGATGACGTTATCAACATTTTTGCAAGCACACGTACATCAATTTTGTGCAGTATAATACTAATAATAACATTTTTGTCTTCCCAAATTTTCGGGAAAATGGAATTTGCCGTTCCTCATTTGATCAATAAAATAACTTGATTCATTCATTAATTTTTTTGAGGCACCTGCATAAGTCTAAAAAATATTAATACAATGATAAATCACAAGGATAGATTCATCATATTTTGCACATTTTAGATACGTTTTATTATGCAAAATTTTGAGGTGACGTCATAAATTTTTTGGGGGATTAAAAATTTACCATGCTTATGATAACTTTAAAACATCTCCAAGATTTCAAAGCATTCGGTTTTATAGTTTCAAAATTAAGTTGAAAACTGTTATATAATTTTGATTTTTTTTCCAAAAATCTGGGCGTCATATTTTTTAGATTTTCTTACACAGGTGACCAAAAAAATTAATAAATGACTCAATTTATTTTTTTGATTAAAACTGGAACTGCAAAACCCAATGCTTTGAAATCTTGCAGATGTTTGAAAGTTATCATAAGCATGGTAAGTTTTTAATCAAGATATATTTGTTGATCCCCAGAAAAATTGATGATGTCACCTCAAAATTTTCTCGAATAAATCTTTTCTAAAATGTGCAAAATATGATGAGTCTGTAATTGTGATTTATCACTCCATTAATATTTTTTAGATTTGCTTATCCAGGTCGCTCAAAAAAATTAATGAATGTCTCAATTCATTGTAGTGATTAAATCAGGAATGGCTCACTCTATTTTCTCTCTTCTTATTAACATTAGACTGCACCAATCCAAGTTGATATACGTGTCCTTGAAAAAATGTTGATAACGTCATCACAAAATTTTGTAAAGTAAAAACTCATTTGAAATATACGCATAACACACTTCTTCACGTTTATCTTAACATTACATCTTTATATATGTTTATCTCAGCTTATAGGGGTTTCATAAAAAAAAAAACAAAATTTGCAAAATCACATTTTATAATTTTTCGAAAATGCTGGACATGTTTCATGCTACTTCAGGAGCGAGGGAAGTTCTGCCGAAACAACTTTCGACCTATTTTTTAATAAAGCTTCATTTCATAAATTTCTGGACAAAAGTGTCCTCTAAACACTGGACTACACCTGCGGTTATTATTTCTTCCGAAAACCCCGGTTTGGTTTTTACCACTAAGAAGTACCAACTCCAAAGACTAGACAACTCACTCAAAATATAACTCATCGAGTTATTACCGACATCTTATATCTCACTAACGTTATTAGTCTATTTCCTTTCAGCATATATGGTAAATATTCTCAAATGATAAGACAACCGCTGAATTGTTCTATATTGACAACACCAAGGGGGATCGAAACTACAGCTTTTCATTGAATTGTCTGGTCTTTCCAGTAAGTAATTCTTTAATAACAGTTAATAAAAAAAACTGGCAAAAACTTCAGATTTTATCCATTTCCAATAAATTATAGTGTTAATTTTACTGTTTTTGGCATTATCCTGAGACATTCAAGATAAATACTACGTATAAACCAGGATCTAAAGCACAACCTCAAACAAAATACAAAACTATCAACACAAGCAACAAAAACGCTGAAGTTAATATTTTAGTCCCTTACTATAACGTAAGCCTATTTATTGAACTACTTTCCTTCAAAATACTTTGCATGTCTGAATTTTTAGGAGCTATTTCTTGATGTATTATTAGTTCAAGCTGTGACCGTAAAATAACTATGCTCATTTCTGATATGCTGAGATTTTAAAGATAGATAGTATTACTGTGACAATACACAAGCACTGGGGTTGCCTTTGGGTATCTTGATAAGGCGGCAGAGAAGAGGCTGTCTTTCGGAGCGAAGTCGATATATCCACTTAACTCAAGACATGAAAGCATCTAATTGGCACCAAACTGAAGAGCTCCTAGGGTAGTATGTGAATACACAGGGTTGTCTAAGAAATGTACATTCGATACGTAGGTAACCCATAAAATTATTTATTTTTGTTGTATGGATTGCTTAGGTACCAAAACAATGTTTCTTAGACAACCCTATACATTCACATATTACTCTAATAAGAACTCTAAAATTTGGTGTCAATTGGATGCTTTCATGTCATAAGTAAAGTCCCCCAAAAAGGCCCCCCCGGGCCATCTCATCAAGATGTTCAAAGACAACCCTAGGGCTTGTGTACTATCACAATATACACTAGCTTTCCTGAAAATCTCAGCTAACCAGAAATGAGCACAGTGATTTTACGGTCGCCTCTACACTTAATATGTTATGGACAACGCAAAAAAACATTTCGTAAAAGGAACTGCAAATGTGCATGCTCTTTGAATCTTCTTTATCTCCAAAAGCATGTATTTCCAATTAATTTAATATAAGCATATTTTTCATCTATAGTAGGGTTACTAAAAACTATGGAAACAGTTGAATATTGCGAGAACGGCTTATCAGCACTCACTGAAATTTGAAATACAAGTAAAAATATTTGAACTCTATCCTCTGAAATATTTCAAATTTCCATCAACATTTGTTTTGGAGATACAAGGCTACTTCATTTTTTTTTATGGCATAAGGGGTCAAATTTAATATTTTTGAAAAAAGTATTTTTTTTCTGCATTCAATGATGTAACACATGCCTTTCTTTATTTGCAGTAAAAATAATTACAAAAAAAAAACATTAAAATAACACAATTTGAACATTGTGAAATTTATTTGGCCTAGAAAATGTTATCTTTATCTATCATTAGTTTTTTACCACTTGTGCGTTGATTAAAAAATTAAATAAAAGTTAATAATAATTGTAAAAATAACACATTTAACTGAAATAAAACAAAAAAAATTAATATTTTTCCAAATTGTTAATTTAATATGTTTTTGCCTTCTGTTTCAAATGAAGAAAGACATGTGTTACATTACACAATGTAGAAAAAAAAGCTTTTTTAAAAAATATTAAATTTGACCCCCCGTGCTATTTAAAAAAAATTAAGTTGGCCTTGTATCTCCAAAACAAATGTTGATGGAAATTTGAATATTTCAGAGGCTAGAGTTCAAATACTTTTGCTTGTATACCAAAGTTCAATGAATTATGAGAAACCGTTTTCGCGAGATTCAACTGCTTCAATACTCTTTACCTACCCTGTATAATAATAAAGGTTGTTAAAAAGTGTTGATAAAAAAATGCACAAAGATAATGCACTTATACACAATTATAGTGTATAAGTGTATTAGCTTACATGAATTCTTAGACATATACTCCTTGTATCGAATACGCAGCAAATTTAATAATACTGCTTTCGGTGACATAGCGACATTAAAGAAAAATGGCGTTTTCAGTAATTCTTTTCTAATTTTTTTTTTTATACTTCTTTTATTATAAAATTGTTATGAGTTCAAAGAAATAAGTGATACATGCCAAAATGTATAAAATTAAACAAAAGAATAAAAAATCACTTACTTTCCTTCCTTGTGTTTTGATTTGTGCAACTGTGAAATTTTCATATGGGCTCTACGCTCAGCATCGCCTTGTTTAGTTTTAGCCAACGCTCTCTTGAAAGACAAAGTGCACAACCAGCACAATAACTTCCCATCAACCTACAATAAAAATTAAATAATGATCTGATGCAATTTTAGAAAAATATATCTAAGTTATTATCTACCAGTATTTATTTATGTACGGCCATTATGGAAACAAAATTAAAAAGTTTGCTGGATATCCATCCACCTACCTAGCACATTATTTTGCGAATTTATTATTACAGCATCACTGCTTAAAAAACCAATAGTGGAAGCAGTGGTTACACAATCGTAAAACTTACAATCAAATTTATTCTATTTATTTTCAAAGGAAATGTAAGAAGAAAAGCAACTTGTCTGTCCCATTTTTCAAATTTGGATTTTTTTAAATTTTGATGACCATAAAATGTTTAGGCGGTGATTTTTTTTCATTTTCATCCTCCATTGATTCATTTATTAGCATTCACATTATGAGTCTAATTCCGTAAACAAAATGTTCAGACAGCTCCTGGGTGAACAACGCCCCATAAAAGCCAACTATGATGACTTAAAACATCTAAGAAGTCGTGTTACTACTCCTAATGAAAAAATCTTTTAACCTAGAAAGATAAATGAAGCGTCACAATAATTAATTTTTCTAAAATAATTTTGGCATTATAGTTAAACTACCAACGAAATTTGGTAAAATAAATAGGAGTATAAAAAAAATCACATTGTTTTGCAACCGTTGCAACAAGTACATATAAGCAATTCAATAGAACACGAAATTTGTAATTTGATCCATTATCACAGATAAAGTTGCTATAAATTTATGTATTTCTCAATACACCAAACAAATTTATCTGGGCACTTTTTTTTCATAGTGAGATAACACAGAAAAAATTTGCTTTACATTGTTGAACATTAACAATTTTTGAGTATTCATTTATACAGTAGCGTGTATCATCCACTCATACTTACTTAATCTTTAATCAACCAGAGTAAAATCACAATTACAATATTTACCGAAAGTAGCATATACCACAATGGCAGTGGCATATGCTACTGGCATTGTGGTATACTACCACAATGGCAGCAACTTTAAGTTAAGGAGTTAAGATTGTTTTGTCATCTCCAAGAACGACAAGAAAAGATTTTAAACAATATTACAACAAAAAACCTGTAACCTGTAGAGAACGCTTTAATTTTTGGATTTAATGGTAATTATGTCGATGTAAAATTGTACAATTAACATGACAAAAAAATAATAATAATTGAGAATTTAGGGTCTGTGAAATCGAAACACAAGTATGAAAAATATTACAAACGCTTTCATGAATGGAGAACAAAAATTCAAATGAAGCAGATGAGACAGTGACGCTTGTTTGTTGCCAACTGAAAAAGCGTTGCTAACGAGAAAAGTGACACTTTTCTTTATCATTTTCTATAAAACAAAGACGCATTTTTCTATTAGTACACAAAATAGTATATTATTATACTAGTTTAATAAGACGTCTTATTGTGGCACGCATGGGTTTGGGGCACGACGAGCGCAGCGAGGAGTGGTCCAAAGGAATAAGTGCCACAATGCATCTTATTAAACGAGTATAATATACTATTTTTTCTACTTTGCATCTGATCGGAAACAAAAAATTAATAAAAATTCAAGGTTATAAGGGCCTTTTAATTCGAAACGTTAGTTGTAGCGTTGTGGCTGACTTCACAATGTCAAAGTTTGACATCTAACCACCGAACACTAACAATCTAACCTAAGTTTGCCTCAAAAAATGGAAGAAGGGGGCTTGCACGCCACCTGAAATACAGTTTAACAATTGATCCCATTATTAAACTGTTTTCGGTTTAATAATGAGGCCATTGTTAACGCAAAGTAGAAAAAAACCATTTGTGAATGTTGTAGATGTCATTCATGCACAGTCATTTGTTGGATGGCTGTTTATAATGTCTGTACCTCTAGGGTAGCCACCCAAAATTTGAAATATAAAATTACATCACCAATTTTTGATTTTCCCACATTGTACTTGAAAATACCAATATTTACCTTCTTATCATCATCGTGTCGATCAAATGCACATTTCTGCTTACACTGCTCACAATTAACTGGCGGCCCATATTTAATCTCTGAGTTTGTACATCTCTGACATTTATTTCCTATAAACGCTGCAATTATGTTACAGTATTCACAAGCTGTGGGTTTGCCATATGCTTTAACATTCTGTTCACACTTTTTACATATTGTGCTGGTATTTCCCTTCGAAGTTTGCTGAAATTCGGATCGGCAATATGTACACTTTACCACTGGAAAAGCTCCGCGACATTCCTAAATTAAGAAATAGTTATTAAAAAAACAAAGTACAAAACAATGAAAAATTTATGCTAGTATATTTAAAAAATGCCGTAGTTCATATCGTAACTCAGAGAACAGTTACATGGTAACCAAAAATAGGTACATAATTTTCTGAAAATTACAACTTACTTTACATAACTGTTGTCCGGCTGACAACTCCTCGAAAGGATGTCGCGAAAAGCATCGGGAACAAGCAAATAACGGGGCACTCATAACTTTACGATGTAACAGTCGTATATCCACTCGAGCGGACACCAAACTTATACGTCAGATTTCTGTTAAAACGATAATATTACCGTTACTATTTACGTCTGCAAGATTCACATTAAAACATGTTAATTTAAAATAAGAGTTTGGATTTAATAGTCTGTGTCATCAGTAATAATTCACACACGTAAAACACCTTTAACTGTATTAAATTCTTTTACATTCAACGTCTTTGATAGTCCGAAAAATACTCTTGATTACAGCGCCACAATGTCACTTCTCATGCGACTATACGAAGAACTACGCAACATCACCAACTCGAACTCCAACATAACACGTGTGAATTACTAGAAAATAGTTGGCAACACGAAACATTTTGTGCAGACAGATGGTGGGCAGATCCATGATCCATGGTTATCAGCGTCCGTCTGTGACGTCCGTACCGAATGGAATATATTTAATCATATACAATATTCATCCGTCTATGGCCGCGATCATTAATGAATCGTGATAGCTTAATAGATTACTTTTTCGAAAAGACAAAATTGAAAGAACGACTCGCAATTAAGATGGAAATTTACAATTTTTTAGCTAGCTGCCTAAAATCGACCTGCCAAAAACTAAAAAAAAAATGGCAGTTTGCTGCGTTCGGCTCTTAACGTTAGTTATCACGACTAATTTAACCGTTAACCGACGGGGTTACAACTGTTGAAACGGTTTGATCAAATTTTAAGAAACTGAATTATTATTGTCACTCATGTCAGTCAGGAGGCAGCCCGCTTCAATTTGCAACAATCTAATCTCTCTTTCAATTTTGTACTTATGGCCCAATTCTAATTACTGTACACTACAGGTAGATGGTGCTGTATCAATCATCGAACTATAACCCCTTTATCATAGATTAATATACAGTTTTCGACAAAAAATTTCAAACATCACTTTTCTGTCATGTCAAAAATTTTAATGTAGTCTATGCTTTATTGTCATTATTTCGGACAGCTGGAATGTCAAACTTTCAAAATTCCAGTTTACGCTACAGTACATATCTCTGGCTACAGCTACATTCGTGTAAGTGTCAAATGTAAAAGTTCAAAATGACTGTCAATAGTGTCAAATATTTAGGTTAGAAACATCTAAAGGTTGCTTTACACTATCTGACGACTGAATGACATTGACGTCTGAATTTTTTTGGCGGCAACTGTAGATGCGACATAGAGACTGATTTTGCAAAACCACTCCTATTGACATTGGAGTCCTCAACCGCCAAAGCCAAGCGCCAAATTTAAATAGTCGATGCCAATAAAAACCTTGTTTCACTATAATTGTAATTCGTGTGACCTGAAAGAAAATGACGGAAACAGTAAGCAGCTTGTAATATTCTGGTAAATCTAGTGTCAATTTGTCGAAAATAAAACGCCTCGTTAAAAATATTATGACATTTCTTCTAGTTACTTTTATTCCTAATTAGAAACAAACACTGCTACCAACATAAATTGAGGAGTCCGCAACCGTCATTTGATTTAAACTATGACGCTTCTCTGTGTTCTCGTTCTCTGCCTTTATTATAAATAAATCATTTCATATGTATTTATAGCTATTACCATTATTACACTTCTCTATTTGTCCGCTGTCCGTGTCGATTTTTTATAGATAGATAATCTCCGAAATTACTGCACCGATTGTTGTCAAATTTTATACGTGTATTATAAATACATATAACGTAAACGGTAAAACCCTAACCAAATTTTATGTAATCATCCTCACAATGATGACGTCACCTCAAAATTGAACATAGTAAACAGGTTTTAAATTATATAAAATAACATACTCCTACACCCCTACACGACCGTGTATTTTATGAATCCGTAATTATTCATAAACGAGGTATGTAAATTAAATTGAATTTTTACTCAAGACATTCAGATTTTTGGAAAAAAATCAAAATTGTATAGCAACATTTTGCAATTAATTTACTTTTGAATCCGCAAAGATGAATGCATTGAAATCTTACAGACATTTTGATATTTTCGTTAGCTTGGTAAATTTTTAATGACGTTATCACAAATAAATCCTATCGAAAATGTGTAAAATATGACGAGTCTATGGAGGTCTATACTTATGATTTATTATTGCTTTCATATTTTATAGAATTGCTCAAAAAAATATGTGATTGGGTCAACCTATTTTATTGATTAAATCAGTAACAACTCCATTTTCCCGAAAATTTGGGAATACAATATTGTTAGTATTATTATTAATTAATTACTATACGTGTCCTTACAAAATGTGGATGACGTCATCACAAAATTTTGTAAAGGAAAAACTCATTTTAAATACGCTTGTTTACATTTAGTTTAACCATGGCCGACTAGTATAAAGATTATGGCCTGTCCAAGAGGTACGATACGTGTTGCCATCTATTAATAATTACACTTAATAATTTAGCAAAATTTTAACTTGACTTGACATTATGGGACTTCAAAACGTGTAATGGTGGTTTGTTTCGGTATGAATGCCTTTGTGCCTTTCAAAAGGTGTTAATAATTCTTTTGTCGTTTTTGAATTATTAATAGATGGCAGCACGTAATGTACCTTTGACATTCCTTTGGACAGGCCATAATCTTTATACTAGTCGGCCATGGTTTAACATTATATACATATCTTTATATTTACTTATAGATATTAAATTTTATCATAACTTTCGACCAACTTTTTAAAAATGAAATAAGTACAGTATGGTCCAAAACTTTTCAGATCAACGGAGGATGTGATGAGCGCACATAAGCTTTGTCTTATTTCTTTAATTTATGTAATTTGTTTGTTTGTTATTGTTTAGTTTTGTCATTATGGTGTGTTCTATGTTTATTAGTTATTAAAATTGTGAATTAGAATTGTTTATTAATTTACTGTTCACACATGTCCCATTCCTGACAGTTTAAAAATAATTTCTTATGAAAAAACCGTCAAGGGCAATAATTCAAAATAATACACAAATTAAAGGTTGTAAGTACTTCTAAACAATATATAAAATACACCTTGTTCGGATGATTAAAACGGCGCAGATATAGCAAAATTTCTTCAAGACATTTATAAATGTCACTAGGCCCGCAAAATATTCGCGTTCTTTTTCTGTCCGGCGTGTTTCTGGATTTTCCGTTTCACTCATGCGCAAGGCATTAGAAACGATGTACGTTACTTTGATGAACATCGTTGTTTTTAATTTGCGATATTTCTTTAACAGAGGCATTTTATATATTTAAACCTTTAGGAACAGGAAGAAAATTGTACAATCTTTATCGCTTGCCGCAAGAACTAGTTAAGATTTCTACCTGGGCGGTGTATTTTGTCTGTAAAATCAAGCTCCCATAAGAAACCCGTAGTAGAATTTTTGAATTATGAACTGCCGCGCAATGGAAATTCTAACCTTACTTGAGTGGTCAATTATTGTTAGAAATGTCTCGAACGTGACAGTGAAATGCTCCTTTACAAGCGTTTTCACATAAATAATACTTAATTCTTTTTTGACATTCTATTTGAAATTGTCGCTCAAATTAGGGTTAAAAAATCATTGTCAATAAATACAGAGATCTATAATTAAAAATTAATATACATAAAAACCACTAGAGTTCGCTAGTTTAGGGTCACTCGGTGAGTCGTTGACACACTTTCCGCCTTTCCGCTTTCCGTACTAGCCTGTTATGGTGCCAAAAAATACCGAACCGAACGGCCATATCTCTTTACAGATTAATGGAGTTGGCCATGGCCGAACTTCTCGTAGACACGCTGTTTACTTTCTATTGCCGTGGTACACTATCTTGGGTACACTACATACACCTTTTGACCTCAAAGATTTGATTTGGTGGACGAGTCCACCCAGTGTGCCCCGGAAATTCAAAATTATGTTGACAAAATCGTGAAAAACCGCGTCTAGTTTTTGTTTTCAGATTTGCATCGATTCCATGGAATTCCTTCCTTCATGATTGATTTAATACATAGAAATCTTGATAGAAACAAAATGACAAACCATGACTGTCAACTATACTATAATGCACTTACTTGATTCAAATTTTGTAACTAAAATTACTTAAGGTTATTTTTTGCACTCATGACCTTTTTTGATAGCTTTCGCGCATTCACCAGAGTGCGGGAGGTCGAACTTCCCGCACACGTGCATTTAACTTCCCGTTGCCATGGTAACCTTAAAATACTCGGGTAGTGTCAACATTGTGACGTGTTGACGGCGCTGTCAATGGCGTTGTTTATAAATAACTCACAGTTAATCTCTTCAGTTTAAAGGTTTATTCGTCGCAAAAAATATTGTACACAACACGTTCGTGAGCCTGCTTCCCGCATTCACGCAAATGCGGCACTCCCTTCGGTCGTGCCTCAAACAAGCGTTCATGCGGGAAGCAGGCTATCCCGAACTAGTTGCGTAAATTACTATTATACAGTTAGGCGTAGTTTATGCAAGCATGGCCAACCGAGAGTCAAAAACTCTAAAATGTACCTAGATAGTTATAAATCTACTTTAATTATTTGAAGAAACTTAAGTAAATCTTAAATGGTAACATTTTATTCCAAACATTAATATAATATACAAACAGTATAATTATGAAAACAATACAAATAAATATTTAATTTAGTCTCGAATGGAAAAAATTTTGGCAGTTGTATCATCGGAAGTACTCAAAACAATTGAGTTATCAAGTGATATGCTTATACTTAAAATTGGTGCCCTATGTCCTGTAAGCATTTCAATTAAATTACCAGTTCTTGTATCACACACATAAATAGCACCATCTGTTGATCCAATGAAGGCTTTTGCATTTGCCCCTACTTTTAAAATTGTTACACCATACTCAAGTTTAGCTTGGTGACGTATCATTTTTGTGTGTAAATCCCATACACAAACTTGCCCACTCAGAGACCCAGTTATCAAAAGGTTTAGCTGATTAACAAATACATGTGCTTCTATGTGTGTTTCTCCTGCAGTTAAAAGACTGCCCACAGACTTTCCATCTGAGAGTTTTATTAAAGCAGAACTTGGAGCTAATGAACATAAAGTACCATCCAAATTAACTTCAAGTGAAGTTAAATTTGGATGGTGATCATCTAAATACTGCCACTTAACTGTGGTCATTTTGATATCCCATAATTTAACCTGTCCATCTTCATATCCAGCAACTAAATGTCTACCGTCAGGTAGTAATTTGCCACAAATACATGAAGATCCATGCGAGGTTAACACTTTACAATTCCCTTTCGGTATTTGCCACACATAAATTTCTCCTGAATGACTACCTGACAGTAAGATATTTGTTACTGGGTGCCACATTAACCACTCCATGTCATCGCCTTCATTACACCAAATCAATTTATTGCTCTCTACTTCCCACACTTGTATCATCCCTGACATATCTCCAGTAGCTAACAATCGATTGTCATGATTAAAACAAACACATGTTACGGAATCCTTATGGCCTGTGCAATCAAATTTAACTGATCCATTTGATGTGATCCAGAGATATACACAATCATCTTCACCCCCTGTAGCAGCAAGCTGTCCATCTTTTGTCAAATCTGCACAAAATACTGACTTTTTATGTTCTTTGAATGTAAGCTTGGCTAAATCTTGCACTTCAGCTTGATTTCCCTCTTCTTCAGTACTGGCATCTTCGATCATTTCTTCCTCCAACTCATCGTCGTCGGCCTCATCTAAATATATGACTTCGACATCATCAAAGTTCTCCGATTCTTCTGCCATTTTTATGTATCACCTTCCTGTTTCTTCCTGAAAAATAAATATACTTGTAAACTATATAAAATCTAACATGTTTTTATTATATATTAAAGTAATATGAACTCGGTCTAAAGAATGTTACGCTAAATTTCGAACACCACGTGGTTGACACATTCACGCCTGACTATAATACACAATAAGATAATACAATAACAATGACAGTAACCTGCACGGTTTTTTATCATTCGCGCTCACCCAACCGACACCATGAGTGTTTCGTGCCTGAGACCTTATCGAGACGCCGTCAACCTTCTCTGCTTTGAATGTCACTTACATGAACTCACGCAGTCAATAAACGAATAAACACGGAAAATATCCTCACTCAAGGACTCTTGTTCCTATAGGGTTTTCTGTTGCAGTTAGCTAGTCAACAGCGGTTGGTATCATGTAGTGCACAGATGCAGTGTAAATAGTACAGATAAATAGCGTAAATAAAATAGTGTCGTTTTCTATGGTACGATGCCTGTGATGAATGCGTTCAGATGACCAGTAAAGTAAGGTTAGAATTTAGAATGCGCGGCAGTTCATAATTCAAAAATTCTACTATGGGTTTCTTATGGGAGCTTGATTTTACAGACAAAATACATCGCACAAGTAGAAATCTTAACTAGTTCATGCTACAAGCGATAAAGACTGTTCAATTATCTTCCTGTTACTGAAGGCTTAACTATATAAAAAGCTTTTGTTAAAGAAATATCGCAAATTAAAAACAACGATGTTCATCAAAGTAACGTACATCGTTTCTAATGCCTTGCGCATGAGTGAAACGGAAAATCCAGAAACACGCCGGACAGAAAAAGAACGCGAATATTTTGCGGGGCTAGTGACGTTTGGATCGTGAAAATCCCCAAAATATGACAGTTGATTTCGTATTTTCATCACAACAAACAATCATAATCACAATTTTTAGATGGTATATCAGTTCTGTGATATTGATTCACATTAGGTTGTATGTATCTGTGGACTGGTTTTTTTTATATTTGTTATTAATAATGACAGAAAGACATGTGTTAACAATAGGGGCAATTGCCATTTTTTTTTGTTGGAGAAAATTCTTTACAGTTAAATGATGAAAGTGAAAGTCAATTAGCCAAATACACTGACGTCATCCGAGGTCACCAAGATGGCAGCGTTTGACAACTAGCCGGTTTTCTCATAAGAGTCAATGCTAATATTTTCGGAATTCATCTAAATTTGAGAGTGTGACAACTGTGTTTTTATGGTTTGGTAAGTTTGTTACAGTTTCTACACTGTGTAGATATCTGTAAAACGCACCATAACGTTTGAATAGGCTTAAAAAATAATGTTTTCCAATGTGATGTACAGGTTAACTTCGCTGCATCTTATATCATTTGTTTTGCAAATTAATTCTTTGTTAATGTACATCAATGTTTTTTAAATACACTAGCATCTTAATATTATACTATTTTGTATTTTAGGAGAAAATGCCTACATTTTGTGCTGTTGTGGGTTGCGCGAATCGAAGCACCAGAAATGCGGACAAATTTTATTTTCCTTTCCCAGCAATTAGCAACAATAAAGGTAAATATAGTATACAGGATGGGGAAAAAAGGCGGAAGCTTTGGTTAAAAGCCTTGAAACGAGTGGATTTAACGAAGCCAAAGTAAAGTATTCCTATATTTGTTCGGATCATTTTATTTTAGGTACAGTAACTACTTATTAGATTTACAGTTTCTAATAAATTACTACATTGGTGCTCTTTTAGGTAAACCTGCAGATTTGTCGGTTGTGGACCATCCTGATTATATTCCATCACAAAATTTAGGATATCAAAATAAATCCACTCAATACTTGTAATGTTGAAAGACACAAGTCGTTTAAAAAAGAGAAAACTGAATAAATGGCTCTAGACTTTTGAATGCACGAATTTCATTGTGGGTTATTTTAATTATTCCAAAAATAAAAAAGTTTAGAATGGTATTCATTGTTATGGTAGGGACATCGTCTAAACACAAATTAAAATCACTTGCACTCATTGTATAAGGATCTACGCCGTTTAAATTGTTTAACTTTTGTACATATCTGCTTTTCTCTTTGACGGAAAGACATCGTGCATAATCACTTAAATTATCCATACTTTAAAAACAAATTACACACCTTCACTTAAACCCGTCACATTAACCTCAAACGAAAACATTAATTTCCGATTTACCGCTTAAAACACACGGATGTATTTTGGGCGACGAGGAATTCAGACCAAAACAGCGTTCTGTATTTTTATTTTTATTATGTATTTTTAAACTCAAATCGCCAAAAAAAAGCACCTTGATACACAGAAAAGATATGAAAGAAGCTATTCACGTGTTTATTTTCTAGATAAATACCCACACTTTTAAATAAAATGCGAAAATGTTAACATTGTCGCTTATGGAGTTTCACGCCGCTTGTCAAACGCTGAGTTCCCGCCACAGCGTGACGTCACGTGTTATTGGCTAATTGGTATACTGAATTAAATGTGCTTGAACAGTTTATTCGAGCTATAATGCGAGAAGATTATGGTAAGTTAATGGCTGGTATTCACAAAAGTGGTCTGATGATTCCATCATATAATCATATCATTAATTTAAACATCTCATCAAAATTTGACGGTATTCATAAAGCAAAATCATTTCATCAATCGATCCGGTTACTCGATCGAGTCCACGGCCGTATATAACAGGTCTGCGAACTCCCAGTTTAAAATGGTCTTTTTTGGAAGAGATCCCAGGAGGCCACGGGAACTTAAAGTTCCTAGCGCCGTCTACTGGACACTATGATGAAACTATTCACAAAGGTCGACCAATAATGAATGAAATTTGCGTAAAAATGTCCTTGAATGCAAGTTGTCAAAAATGTCAGCTTTATAGGTTAAGTTTTGTGACGTCTTTTTGAAATATGAGGGGGAATATACGTCAAATGTCATGTCAAACATCAGTTGATAGTGCAAATAGTACAATTAACTACCGCATGGTGGCGGTCATCTTAAGCTCCCACTAAAGTCACTAGATCTACTATTACTTTTAGAAAGTACGGCAAACTGCCTGTGGTCGGAATTCGACAGAGAGGAACCTAACCTATGTGTTAAACAAAGATAGCGCGAGGCTAGTAATTTTCGCTATCTGTCAACGAAAGGTTGATGTGTTTACGATTTGAGGTTACGACAGACTGTACTAGAATTATTGAGTTAACGGACCGGAAAGAACACTATTCCAGTCCCAAAGTAACTCCAGCCCTATTCAACGAGAAAGTGTCACCGGTAACCAGCAAACAGTCGTGGAAGACGTGTTACCACCAAGGCAATTGACGGCCAAATGACAGTAACAGGATCGCCATACTGGAAGCAAAAAATACCTGCTGTCGAAAAGACGGAGCATAACAAGGACACATCACAGCTCCCACTAATGTGACTCGATCTTGAAATGTGTGGCAATTAGTAACTTTTATGAAATAGAAATATATCTGTGTCCTTGTTATGCGCCGTCTTTTCGATAGCAGGTATTTTTTGCTTCCAGTATGGCGATCCTGTTACTGTCATTTGGCCGTCAATTGCCTTGGTGGTAACACGTCTTCCACGACTGTTTGCTGGTTACCGGTGACACTTTCTCGTTGAATAGGGCTGGAGTTACTTTGGGACTGGAATAGTGTTCTTTCCGGTCCGTTAACTCAATAATTCTAGTACAGTCTGTCGTAACCTCAAATCGTAAACACATCAAACTTTCGTTGACAGATAGCGAAAATTACTAGCCTCGCGCTATCTTTGTTTAACACATAGGTTAGGTTCCTCTCTGTCGAATTCCGACCACAGGCAGTTTGCCGTACTTTCTAAAAGTAATAGTAGATCTAGTGACTTTAGCTCCCACAACCTACTACGATACCGGTTTTTAAGCGCCCGTTTTATGAAAATTTATGAATGGAGTTGAAACACCTTACTTATACCACCGTGATCGAGTCCATCAATAAAAGTACGCTTGGCAACACTGCACAATTGCATCAGATTGACATTTGCCGACACGCCGGCAGCCAGTTTGTGGTTATGTTTGTTGATTGTTGATCTTCTCCCGGGCTTTTGTTAGAATTTGTTTGTGTCGAAAAATGGATTCGAAGACTAACGGAAGAAAAAATTATACCGACCGTGAGAAAACACTTTTTGCGGATATTATAGCATCGTAAGTATTTGATTCTTATCACTGATCAAGTGTTAATTTTGTGGTAATGGGAAATTATGTCGATGACAACGTAATTTTATTTAATCAACATTGTCGATTACTTTGTGCAAATGAAAATATAGGCATACATATCTAGATCATGTGGGCAAATCTGTCCTTACTCCCTTCACGTCCTAATTTCCAATTCCTTTTTAGTAAAAAAAGTGTGATCGAAAATAAAAGAACCAGCGTGCAAGCAATACGTGCAAGGAGTGCCGCCTGGCAGGAGGTTTTGCAGGAGTTTAATGCTTCAGCAGACCACTCAAGAAATCTAAAACAACTAAAAATTTTGTACGATAATCTGAAAAGAAAAACCAGGAAAGATTTAGCCGCTGAACATCAGCGTGATTTCCAAGATATTGTGGAAGAATTAGGATTAGAGGAGGGCGAGTTGCAGTCATATACTGCACAAGCAAAAGAGGAGCAAAGACTGGAGAAAACTGAGACTTTCAAGACTGGGGGAGGTCCAAGCAATGCTCCAGGAATTAGTGGAACCAGTCTGCAAATTTTATCCATTTTGGGAGATACAGTGGTTCCAGTATCTAATATTTTTGATTCTGGGGCCAGCTATCATAAAGGTATTTGTAATGGCGTTTATTACCGAGCTTGTGTATAGAATGTTTCATTTTTAAATGCACTTGAAATGTGTTTTAGATACTATCGAATTGCCACTCTTAGAAGACATGAATTGTGAAAGTGTACCTTTGGCCTCTCCACCTATGTCAAGAATACCTAGTCCTTCCCGTCGACCGCTTTCCAAAAAACAAAAAAATATAAAAAGAAAATCCTTAACGCCCAAAAAAATTGATTATAAACAAAAGTACTTTCGCCAAAAATATTTAAATAGTTTGCTTGAACGTAAGATTTACTTAACTGAATTAAAAATTAAACAAAAACAATTGCAACTTTTAAATAATGAATAAATTGTTAACTTCTTAATCTAACTAACTTATAATCTTTTGTTCTCAAAAAAAGTTATTTATTATGTAATTTCTCATTGCTGTATTTCCTCCTACATGCTCTTCATTGTCATTATGTATTTCTTCCAATAAATATTCTTCTGGTTCTTCTTCATAGTCGCCTAGTTTGATAGCCATATTATGTAATACTGCACACGCAACTATAATTGCCACTGTTGTTGTCATTTTAGTACGAAGACCAAAAGAAAGGCAAGGAAATCGTTTCTTCTGCTGGAGTCCTAGGATGCAAAAGTGGTGTCAACAAAAATAATTTGCATGGGTAACCGCTGTCCCCCAACAGAAAATTGTTAGCTCCATGCCTTCCACCTTGAAAATTCACGGGCAAAGGACCATCATTAAAAATAGTGGCGTCATGAACTGACCCAGGCCAGCCTGCAACAATGTGCCTAATTATTAAGTGGGCATCGCAGACAGCTTCCACATTTATTGAAAAGTAGCCTTTTCTGTTTCTATACAATTCGGCGTTTTCGCCTCCTGGAGAAGTGATTTTTATGTGGGTGCAATCTATAGCACCCACAACTCTGGGAAAGTTTGCAATGCCATAAAAATCAGAGCAAACTTGTACTGACTCGTTAGGATCTGGCATTCTAATTTCAATGTTGCTTCTATGAGCAATGCAGCGCGTAATTCTGGCTATTATTCTAGAGACCGAAGGTTGTGAGATGTGTATATGATCTCCTAAGCAGTTCTGAAATGCTCCAGTTGCATAAAACCTAAGCGTGATCAATAATTGATTCAAGGGACTTATGGCTTTGTTTCGCTTTGAAGCTGGTGTAATTAGATGTTCAAATCTGCGTAATATCTCAAGAACTGTTTCTTTTCTAAATTTAAATCTCATACGGAAATCTGTTGCGTCAAATTCTATGAATGGATCTGACCTATCGCAAATGTGCCTGATCCGCCTATTTCTTCTTGGTTGCTCATTATCCTCCTCAGAAGACAGCGAAGACAATGATGTAATGTCAGACATTTTACGGTATCTAAAATTCTAAAAATTTCGTTTTTTGTTTAAATGTTATTTAAAAATTGTAATAATTGTAAAAAATGTTCTGTTTAATTACCTCGTAATTAAATAAAATGTAACTTCTTCAAAAATCACAAGAAAAGGAAGACGAAGTTATTTTAATCGCTCGGTTGTCACTGATTAGCTAATGGCTTCATCAAATCAACATTTAATCGAGTTCATCATGTGATGAGCTATTGTGAATACGAAAATGGGATTTAATCAATACGATTAAGAACATTCCGTTACTTGACGACATGTTAGATGATGACTCCATCAATGTGACAGTTTCGTCAATTGATGGTGTCATCAACGTTTAATCAACATGATTAATTTTTAATCAGGCTTTGTGAATACCAGCCAATATTATGTATATTGATAAATTCTGTATCAAGTAAAATTATGACGTATTTTGTTTTATTATGCATAGATATTCCTTAGGAGAGGCAACATGTGAAACCCCAAGAGGTGTATTTGTATGTCACCATATGGCTACACCTGCCCCTACACGGACGTTATAATGTATGCATTTTGGACCAATAATTTGCGTGCTTGGGACGTACATCTGAAGAAAAGTGAATCAGCTGAAGTCAGAGTTGTTGTCTCTGAAAATTCTTTTAATCCCCAAGTCAGCCTAAAAACAGCTAATGTTGAGGTACAACTTCATGAAAGCTTACGACAAACTGATGGCAGCGAAGCACTGCTTTGGCTATTGGGCCTTGAACCAGAAAGATCTGAAGAAAACCTACTTCGAAGAACTATTAGTGTCCGAGGACTATTTAAATGGCCCATCAAGATAACAGTTTGTGGGTCAGTTTTTCACCAAAAGTGAATCAGATTATTTTGCATTAGGAAGTGCAATTTTTTATTGTAGAATATTTTTTTGTTTTGAAATAAATTGTTCTTTAAATTGTGATTTTTTTTTAAATCGGTGTTTCACACCCAATTCGTACTAAAATGAAAGTGATTTTTACTTGTACATGAAAGGTTTAATCAGGAACGCTAAGTTTTTCCTTTTCTAGCAAAAATGTGTGAAAAGAAAAAAGCTTGGGATTGATGATGATTCTTAAATCAAAATTTGGCAATTGATTGAAAACATTTGCAAATATGAGATCTCCTTTATATATTATTTTCAATTCACAGCCGTATCTGTAGCATCTGAAAATCAAAGCCATTTATGTGGAGGGGGAAGTCAATGGCAGTATGAACCACTGTACGACATACGTTCGAGGCAAATGTAGTGGTAAAAGTTGAATTTAAATATTTATTAAATACCACCGGTTCCGCTCATGTTTGGTATCAAGATCAACAGTAAAAATATCAGTCTTAATGGTACAGGTAGTGGGATATATAAGAAAATTACTTTAATGGTACAATTTAAGCGTTAAAGTGACGCCTCGATTTCACCCATAAGGATTACACGGGGAATTGAAATACGGCTCTCGTGTTATGAACTGAGTTCAAATTTCGCGCGTCATTCACTTTACTGGTCAATGGAGTGACATCCTACAGGGAGCAGGGTAATAAATAACTCTGACAATCACCCGAAGGTATTACGTGTTACACGAAACTATGTCTAACCATCGTCCACGAAACCATAGATGAGAAGTCGGCAACTGTTTTTGAACGAATAACTAAATGACATTAGTGACATTCAAGATACATAGAAAGAATGGTATACCGACTCCGCCATTAATTGATACCCAAAAGTAGGAACCAGATGTTAGTTTAAAATTTTTCCACTAGATGGCGCAGTAGTACACGAGGGACCGTCAAATGCGCTGTCAAAGTTGACATTAATAGACGCTTTTGAAATTTGCAGCGTGTTTGCAACAGAAACACCACAAATTGTAAAAGGGAGCCGTTCTCTAGCCGTTCAAAATGAAAAAGTGTGTTCTTTGTGGGCATATTAAACTTCTCAGTCGCGATATTTCGTTATTTCGGGTTCCTGCGGTAAATAACAATTCAATAACAGCTAACACTATTTAGACCATTTTTTTTCAAAAATATGATTATTTATAGGATGGAAACAGAATAAAAGTCTGGACTGAAGCTGCCGGGTTTTTATTTATTCCCAAGACATATATTTGTATGCAGCATTTTGAAAACAAATATATAAGAATACACTATGATCATGAACATGTTGTTCGAAGAACATTAACTCCTGATGCTATACCGACTATAAATTTAGGTTGTGCAAGCACTGGAAATTCCTGTGTTTCCACACATCCTTTTCCTAAATGCCCCAAAAAGGAACAAACCTATCCATTTCCACCACTACAAGGAAATATGTATGTATAAAATATCCTGATTTATCCTAATAGCCTGCCGTTCATATTATTTGAAGAAATTCCACACCGGATGATCCAGTTGTAAACTTCGGTTATACCAATACCAAAAATGACATTTCCTACCAGAGTACCTATCCTATTAAACAATATCCTAGGAGCAATAAAACCCATCCAGTTGAAATGCTATCGATATATAGGTATGTATTTCTAAACAGCCTCACTTTTCATGACTTACCATTTGGTTGAGTCATGTCCAAAAAGTGGAAAATTACTTACAATTATTCAGAAATTTGTGAATTGTTGCCTCTCACATGGGGTATTCATCAACTGCCAGATAAAATTATTATAAGCCACGTAACAACTGACGTCCCAAGAATAGACAAAGCCATCGTTATTGAAGGAGAAATTTCAAAAATATATTTGAATAATATTTGCCGCATGATCGATACCACATTCACGAACTTTCAAGATGTTCTTGATCTGGTCAAAAAAGTGGATGCAGTAACTTTGTGTCACGGTACTGGAATAGGAAACAAAACTAGCCAAAACTGTAATGGGGAGAATACAAGAAACAACACTAGACGCTGTTTATCTTGCGCACTGTTTCGCAAAAATTTGTTAAAAAAAAATTTTTCGTTCAGTGGCCATAGCCAAAAGTTTGCGAACAAGCAAAGAAAAATGAAAAATAACTACGTACATTTGAAAAGACAACTACATGATAAAACAAATGTAATAGAAAGTTTGCACAAAAGGATGGCAAAAATAAACAACATGGGCGAGGTATTATCTAAACTACCTGAAAATCAAAGATTGGTAGTACAAACATGTTTGAATACAGCAACACAAAAAACTAATGGGAAAAGATACACCAAAGACTGGATATATTCTTGTATTCTGATAAGAATAAAAAGTCCAAAGCTATATCGCCATTTACGGAACAGAGAGTTACTTCCACTACCTGCACCAAGCACAATATCTAGATACATAAAAAACATTGACAGCAGCTACGGATTTCAAACAAAGTTATTTGAATTACTAAAAGTAAAGTGTCACTCTATGCCTGAATATTAACGTCATGGTACTTTAATGGTAGATGAATGTAAGATAACACCCAGCAAACATTTTGACAAAAATCGCTTGGAAGTATTAGGTTTTGTTGATTTGGGTGATTACACTCCAATATCTCAAAGAGACCAATTAGGTGACCATGTTTTAGTCATAATGTTTCAATCCTTTGCCGGAAAAAATATGCAGGCAGTCGGTTGCTTCCTGTCAAAAGGAAATGTATGTGGAAGTACTCAGGCAAAACTAATTTTGGAAGCAATAGTTCTTTGTGAAGCAGCTGGACTCTTTATTGATGTGGTGACATCTGATGGAGCGACATGGAATAGATCAATGTGGAAGCATTTGGGTGCAGGTAATCCACAGGCTCCATGGGTTATCCATCCCTGCAATGATGTTAGAAAATTGAGGATGTGTTCAGACTTTCCACATTTGCTAAAGTGCTTAAGGAATAGACTTGTTGCCAAAAAAGAATTCCACGTGCCCACAGGTCATGTTCAGCTGGTTCATTTTCAAAGGTTAATTGAATATGACGCTCAATTTGAATTTAAATTGGCACCCAAATTAACACTGAAACATGTTGATCCACAAAACCATGAAAAAATGACTACGCGCTATGCCTTTCAGTTATTCAGTGGTACCGTTGCTGATGCTCTGTCAATGTTAAACAGTAAAAATATACCTGGATTTCTCGATTGTCAAGCTACAATAGAGTTTTGTAGACGCATCAACAAGCTGTCTGACATCTTGAATTCGAGTAATGGTTTTAGTGCGCTGCGATTACAGTCACCACAGTATGAGGAGTTAGAAGACTTCTTAATATACTTAGATTTGTGGGAATCGTGTGCTGACCAAGAACATTTTTTGACTAAAAATACTGCAGATGGTTTGAGGGCCACAATAAACACAACCCTCGACTTACTAAAATATTGCACTGAAACCTTAAATTTCAATTATTTAATGACGTCACGGATTAACCAGGATCCATTAGAACATTTTTTTGGACTTCTACGTGATTGTGGTGGCTCAAATAACTGTGCTGAATCAGTTCAAATCGCCCAGATCTTTAGACTGATGTCTTTATATTCATTGGTAAAGCCACCTAAAGGTAGTAATGTTACTGGTGGCAATATGCTTGAAGTTCTTGTAAATGATAAGCAAAATATCCTAAACTGCATTTCATCAGAGAGTTTATCGAATACAAAGCAAGAAATTGACCTTCAGTTGGATCGAATTCTAGATGAAGACATCTCAGCTGGAAGAGAGATCAATTTCAAGGACAACGAAGAAGCGTTCGCTTACGTCTGTGGGTTCCTTGCCCGAAAATATAAGTCTGAAGCATGTCAAGACTGCAAAAACACCATCATCGGAAACGGCGTGGAAAATTTTAATACGTTCATCGCCTTAAAGAGTAGAGGGCATTTAATATTTCCATCTTCAGAACTGCTAACACTTCTAGAACAAGTAGAAGCTGTGATTGGCGGAACTCTGAAATCAGATGTGAAACGAAATGCACTACTAGACGTCCTTCATGAATTGGAAAAACGAAAAATTAATCATTTTATAGGGTGCATGCAACACAAATTTAGTTTAACTAAGAGAGTTATTTTTTCATTTTTAATATTAAGAATGAGTTTTGCATGCAAAAAAGAAAGCAGGAAAAGAAGCGTTGATAATAGAACTTCTAAGAAATACGCCAAATTAGCGAAATTAGTATGAAATTATTATGACTACCTTTTTTCAACCAGATTTATTAATTTAGTTTTGTTTTACTTTCTTATTTCTTGTTTTCTCTTTGATTTTCTTCGACATTTAGTTATCTGTTTGGTAATTCATGTTTTAAAATTGAATTTAACGTTAAAATATGCATGAGGAACGATTTCAGTTATCCCAGAACACCGTTGTTTTATTTCTTAGATTAAAAATAACTTCAGTACCAAAGTAAACAATTTTCAGCGTTTCTTGGAAACAGACTGGCGTAAGATAAAAACAACCCCACTAATCGCACAACTTTTGCGTTATTCTTCGTCAAACATTCACTGTTCGGGTAATTTTCATTCAAAATCTTACGCAACAATCACGACGAAACCAGATATAACTTTAAAAAATCACAAAAATAACATAATCAACACGTTATTTTTTAACGACCAACACAGCATGACAGCGATGACAGCACCCATACTTGACAAATGTCAACACTGACAGTCCCCCGTTACGCTGGCGCCATCTAGGTGAGATTTCATCTGGACCCTAAAATTGAGTAAACTGTTTTCATTACAAATGTCAAAAGTCGGTGTACCATTCTTTCTATGTATCTTGGTGACATTATTAACGTCGTCAGCGCCATCGTAATCCAAACTGACATGTGATAAAGTAAAATCATAGAAAAAGTAAAATGAGGCTTAGCAGAAAGCAGATGCACACTACACTACGCCCTTGTGCTGCACCCAGCTGAAGTGTTCAACATCAAAAGTTAGCAGTATGTAGACATATTTAAAAAACCGTTTTTTAAATAGGGTAATTTTTTTTATTTAAATTTTTTTTTGTTATAAAACGGTGTTTCCTTTTGTTGTAACAGTTGTTATATTAAAACTGTTTAACAGTTTTAATTCAATGAGCAGTTAAAATATACTTTTTTCCATAAATTAGCAAGTATTTGTTATTTCATAGAGTCAGGGTTTCCTTATTAATGGCAGAGATATGTAACATATCTCTGATTAATGGTAACGTTAACCACCACTTGACCGACATTTATCACGATTGAAAAACTGGGCCTAAAAATCTCAAACATTTTTAATAAAGTCACTAGATAGATTCTATCTTGGACGACAATGCACACTTTATTAACCACAGAACATAGAGAAGCCCCATAGTTTAAATCAAATGACGGTTGAGGACTTCTCAATTTATGTTGGTAGCAGTGTTTGTTTCTAACTAGGAATAAAAGTAACTAGAAGAAATGTCATAATTTTTTAACGAGGCGTTTTATTTTCGACAAATTGACACTAGATTTACCAGAATATTGCAAGCTGCTTACTGTTTCCTTCACTTTCATTCAGGTCACACGAATTACAATTATATTGAAGCAAGGTTTTTATTGGCATCGACTATTTAATTTTGGCGGTTGAGGACTCCAATGTCAATAAGGGTGGTTTTGCCATGGCCGACTAGTATAAAGATTATGGCCTGTCCAAGAGGTACATAGATAAATAATACTACGTAAAATAGAATGCAAACTCGGCTGTAATGCGTGTCCCAGGTTTGTGTCTAGGCTTATGTACCGGCCACATAATAAGAGATAGCACTGATAGCAGTGAAGTATTTTTTTCCAAAAATTACTTGGCGACAACTTCCACAGCCAATTTTAAGAAACAATAAAAAAACTAATGTCATTTATGATTAGTATAAAAGTGTCATTTGTGTGATTATACGTGATAACAAAGCGTAAAATATGAAACTATGCAGTGTTTTGAAATGTCTAAACACTAAAATTATTAAACGCCATCGTTTTCCCAACCCCTACAAATACAAAGAGCGTTTTAAAATTTGGTTGGAACGGACAGGGAATCCAAATTTAAGCAAATTAGATCCCACGAAAATATATAAAAATGGATATTTTCTTTGCGATGTACATTTTAAAGAAACGGATTTTGGCCCCAATCAAAAACTTAAAAATACTGCCATTCCTACAATTCAAATTATGCATGGTAAATATTTGTGTGCAAGTGAATGCCATAGATAATTTTTACAATAATTTCAGATAATATGAACGACTCCGAAAGACACACCCATGATCCCGTAAACCCTATTTCTATACTGGATTCTCAAAAATTTTGTACTGAAGTATCTCGAAATTCCAGAGAAACCCTAAACGAAACTTTAAACCAAGAATCTTCTCGAATACTAAATTTACATTCAAATTCTAGGAATATTTCGCGTACAGCCCGTAGAAACAAAATTAAGGTAGCTTCGTATCGCCAACGATTGAAATTATACTCCAAATTTGAAGTAAAATTAGAAAGCAAAATTTTAAGTCAGGATGCTATAAATTTTTGTTTATCACAATTAAAAAGACGAAATGTCAAACCAAAGGGTCGCAGGTTTACCACTGAAGATAAATTATTTGCATTAATGTTTTATAAACAGTCTGGGAGATGTTATAGAAAAATGAGACAGATTTTTGCACTGCCTTCACGTCAAACAATTATGTCTATGTTGAACAAAATTCCAGTAGACGTTGGTATAAACAAAATAATTTTCGACAATCTTAAAGAATCTGCTTCAAAATTAAATAACCAAGATAGAATATGTGCATTAATTTTTCATGAAATGTCCATAATGCCCCACATAGACTATGACAAATATACGGATACATTTTTCGGATTTCAAAATTTTGGATTTGAACAAAATTTACAGATAGCAGATCATGTTCTTGTTTTTTTCATTCGCGGAGTGTTTAAAAAATGGCAACAGCCAATATACTTTGCATTTTCTTTTTCGTCTACAAAATCTTACATATTGACAACTATTATAAAAATTCTGGTTGAAAAAATACAAAATTGTGGATTCAAAATTCTGGTTACAATTTGTGATCAAGGCCAACCAAACCAAGCAGCTATAAATTCTCTGCTAAAGGAGTCGAAACAACGTTATATACATAAAGGGATGGAACCTAAAAGAAGAATTTTATTAGGGGATCAAGAAATTATTCCATTATATGACACGCCTCATTTAATTAAATGTATTAGGAACAATCTGCTTACTAAAAATTTAGTGTGGAAAACAAGCGAGGAAATTTTGGTTGCAAATTGGAAACATATAATCGATGCGTACTACAGTGATCAAACATGTGGAGAATTACGGGCTCTACACAAAATTACGGATCTCCACGTAATTCCGGAAAAAATTCAAAAGATGAAGGTGTGCTATGCGACACAAGTTTTGAGTCACTCAATGGCATCGACTATTACGCTATTGGTTAAATCTAGTAAATACAAATTTAAAAATAATTAACAGATTCATTTACAATTTAATTTTACAGCCGAGTGCAGTTTAACAAACGAGGCAATGAGAACAGCACGAATTATAAAATTTTTTGACAAGCTCTTCGACAGTGTAAATGGCAGTACTTTTCAACCACGGTGCGGAAAACCATTTTCTGGGGGCGTATTTAAATCTTCTGGTCATAAACATTTTTGGAAGGAAGCTATCAAAATTTTGGGTGATATGTATTTCGTCGATGAGGCCGGAAAAATGGTAGTACCTCCGTGTATAAAAAACTGGATTGCAACGTTAGAAGGTTTTGTGGATTTACATACAATTTTAGTAGAACAGGGCAGGTGCAAATATTTTTTACCTAGGTTTAAATCAAGATGTTATTGAAAACTATTTTGGCAAAATCAGAAGTCAAAGAAATCGAGCAACTAATCTAACGGCAGCCCAATTTAAGGAAAGTTTCAAATCTCTATTATTACGCAATTTTTATAGTTCAAATTCAGTGGGCGCAAACTGTGAGAAAACGAACATACCGGATTTATTTCATATTAAAAGACTTGTGGATAAAAACATAAATCAACCTTCAGTAAATGAAACGAGTTACGAAATTTTAAACGTGAATATGTACATTTCAAAACTGTCTCCATATAATTTAGAAAAAGATCTTCATAAAAGTATTGTTGGTTATGTGTCTGGCTGGGTTACGAAAACATTAAGAAATTTGAAGTGTGAATATTGTAAAACCCAAATTTTAAACAATTTTTCGGAAGACGAACAATGTTACAAATTAATACGTATAAGAGAATATAATTGTAATAACAGAAAATTGCAATATTGTAAGTTAGATTTTATAAAAAACATTAACAGAATTTATAATATTTCAAGAATCGTTTTAAACAATTGTACATCTTTCGACAACATCAAAAACAAAATTTCGTTTATAGTATCTCATCATGTCAAATTTTCGTTTCATTGTGAACATAAGGAATTAATTGAAAGTGAAATATGTAATAAAATTATATATTTAACAATTTTTACGTTTGTAAAAGGTTTGAATTTAATTTTAAGCGGTCGCGATACAAGAGTTTCCACACATAAAAATGCATTATATCAAAACGCTTGTATAATGTACCAAAAAAAATTAAAGTCAAAAAATCGTAGACAATACTAATAAATTGTATATTATTCTACTCTGTGTTTTTGATATTATTAGTGATAATAAAAATAAAATATTAATTATAAAATATGCAGCAATGACGCATCTAGTAGTTCATGCTTTAGCACCGGCCACAAGGCACCAGGGGGCGTTTATTGAGACCAAAAATCAAGTGGGAGTTTGCATTCTATTTACGTAGTATTATTTATCTATGAAGAGGTACGATACGTGTTGCCATCTATTAATAATTACACTTAATAATTTAGCAAAATTTTAATTTGACTTGACATTATGGGACTTCAAAACGTGTAATGGTGGTTTGTTTCGGTATGAATGCCTTTGTGCCTTTCAAAAAGTGTTAATAATTCTTTTGTCGTTTTTGAATTATTAATAGATGGCAGCACGTATGGTACCTTTGGCATTCCTTTGGACAGGCCATAATCTTTATACTAGTCGGCCATGGTTTTGCAAAATCAGCCTCTATGTCGCTTCTCTATGTTCTCTGCTTTAACCATAGATTAATATAGATGCGACATAGAGGATATAGCCAATAACACGTGACGTCACGCTGTGGCGGGAACTCAGCGTTTGACAAGCGGCGTGAAACTCCATAAGCGACAATGTTAACATTTTCGCATTTTATTTAAAAGTGTGGGTGTTTATTTAGAAAATAAACACGTGAATAGCTTCTTTCATATCTTTTCTGTGTATCAGGGTGCTTTTTTGGCGATTTGAGTTTAGAAATACATAATAAAAATAAAAATACAGAACACTGTTTTGGTCTGAATTCCGTGTGTTTTAAGCGGGAAATTGGAAATTAATATTTTCGTTTGAGGTTACTGTGACGGGTTTAAGTGAAGGTGTGTGATTTGTTTTTAAAGTATTATGAATAATTTAAGTGATTGAGTGCAAGTAATTTTAGTTTGTGTTTAGACGATGTCCCTACCATAACAATGAATACCATTCTAAACTTTTTTATTTTTAGAGTAAGTAAAATAATCCACAATAAAACTCGTGTCTTCAAAAGTCTAGAGACATTTATTCAGTTTTCTCTTTTTTAAACAACTGTGTTATTCAACATTACAAGTATTATGAGTGGATTTATTTTGATATCCTAAATTTTGTGATGGAACATAATCAGGATGGTCCACATCCGACAAATCTGCAGGTTTACCTAAAAGAGCACCAATGTAGTAATTTATTGGAAACTGTAAATCTAATAGGTAGGTACTGTACCTAAAATAAAATGATCCGAACAAACATAGGAATACTTTACTTTGGCTTCGTTAAATCCACTCGTTTCAAGGCTTTTAACCAAAGCTTCTGCCTTTTTCCCCATCCTGTATATATTTACCTTTATTGTTGCTAATTGCTGCGAAAGGAATATAAAATTTGTCCGCATTTCTGGTGCTTCGATTTGCGCAACCCACAACAGCACAAAATTTAGGCATTTTCTCCTAAAATACAAAATATTATAATATTAAGATGCTAGTGTATTTAAAAAACATTGATGTACATTAACAAAGAATTAATTTGCAAAACAAATAATATAAGATGCAGCGAAGTTAACCTGTACATCACATTGGAAAACATTATTTTTTAAGCATACTCAAACGTTATGGTGCGTTTTACAGATATCTACACAGTCTAGAAACTGTAACAAACTTACCAAACTATAAAAACACAGTCGACACACTCTCAAATTTAAATGAATTCCGAAAATATTAGCATTGACTCTTATGAGAAAACCGGCTAGTTGTCAAACGCTGCCATCTTGATGACCTCGGATGACGTCAGTGTATTTGGCTAATTGACATTGGAGTCCTTAACCGCCAAAGGCAAGCGCCAAATTTAAATAGTCGACGCCCATAAAAACCTTGTTTCACTATAATTGTAATTCGTGTGACCTGAATGAAAGTGAAGGAAACAGTAAGCAGCTTGTAATATTCTGGTAAATCTAGTGTCAATTTGTCGGAAATAAAACGCGTCGTTAAAAATATTATGACATTTCTTCCTAGTTAGAAACAAACACTGCTACCAACATAAATTGAGGAGTCCGCAACCACAGTAGATCAGTAACGAAACTTCAGCAATATTTGCGGAACGGGTGTGACCTTGGGAGCCCGTTCCCGGGAAACACGAAGATTCAAATATTTCGTATCATTCGTATGTGATTCATATAATACTAATAATTTTACACAAAAATAAAAATGGGTGGCATGTACTAGTGACATTGGCCATTTTTTTCTTTCTTATAAATTATTAATATATTCAAGCAAAACATTTTTATTCAATTTTGACGTTTTAAACTGCGTTTATTAAATCCTTAACAAGCCTGACAAATAAGTTGTTATCCACAAGTGAATTGCAAAATTTTTATTTCACTCTTAATATTTTTAAATCACTCACAAAAAAATAAAAAACAACTTCAGGAACATAAACATTTTGCTTATTATTTTTAATAGTTTTCACAGAATACAATTTGTTTACAATTTTCACTAAAAGGTTGCTGCAACTAAATCAGTATTGTTTGACATATTTGTTTGGCTCTGTGAGACGTCAATTTGGGAATTGTATAAATCCCACACCAATACAATTCCAAAGTGTGTTTCGGAAACTATTTACTACAGATTATTTCGATACGAGTGCAAGAACCAACTGTGAAACACTATTTTATTTGAAATGAAAAATTTGCCAAGGTGTTCTTTTAAACAAACTTCCACAACACATCTCCCCTGTATTCCAGCCTCTTCAACAATCATTAAGTGATGTGAGTTACCGGAAACTCACCTTGAAAGAACACAACTGTTTATGGTATGTTTGTGGATACTCATTAATACGAAAATTCTTACACCACCACTTTTGCGAAGTTTGTTGTGAACTTTGCACATTCTTACGAAGTGGTACATCCTGTTTTAATTGTGTGACATTTTAAAGTCTTCAATGAAGATGTGATTTTTGGCAATTTAATGATACCACCTAAACATTTTGCAGTTTATACTCCGATGGGTAATACATTTTGAGTTTTTCCCAATTTATGCATCGTAGTCGTTAACTGGTTTGCGGCTAAAAAACGAACCATACAAAAATACCATTCCACCACCCCTGCAAAGACTTTCCTCTTGATTACCTCGTTTCAGTTTTTATTAGTTAGAATTTTTTACACACTAAAATTTAAAAATAAATCTTGGACCGCTCAAACACGCACACATCGAAAATTAAACTATTTCGTTTAACCTGCAGTTTGTTGACCTCTTTAGCCTGGAATTTTCTAGTATATTTTACATGTATCGTAAGTATCAATTACTTTGTTAAAATAAATTTTACGTTTGTTTTTAACCTCATAACCCAACATCCCGTATGATCCCGTAATTAATATGACATTTCTTGTTGACAAAACCAGACAAAACGTTCACCGAAAACCTTAAAATGAAAAAGAAACTATGTTCTTCAAGGTCGGAGCACCTTTAGTGACGCTAGTGACCTCTTTATGTCGTTCCGTAAGCTCCCCATGTATTTCTTATGGAATCAGCTGAGACTTTCATAGCCCTGCCGCAACCGTCATTTGATTTAAACTATGACGCTTCTCTATGTTCTCTGCTTTAACCGCAGTACATGATACCAGTACCGAAACTTCGGCAAAATTTGCGTTACGGGTACGGGTGTAACCTTGATGAGAGTCCATTCCCGCGAAACCAGTGATGGCGGAACCATGGTAGAGTGCCAAGCAGAACGAAAGGTGACATGGGCGGAGCTTCAGATGCGCGCCTATGTCTTACCAGTGACGTAACTGATTTATCATAAAATGTAATTAAAGTAATAGATGCTCTGAGGACCCTATTAAACAAAATTCTTCTTGCTAATAAATATAAAGTGACAAAATAAATAATAATAACTTAAAAAAATAGGAGGCACAAAACGTTTGCACCAGACATACGAAGACAGTACAAAAGTAAGACAAATTAACGGCGCTACTGCCCTATGTTTCCATCCCCCGAGAGCTATGAATAGACTCGACCAACGTAATTTGCTTTACTGCGCAACCCATGTGATGGCCCTTTTCGTTTTAATTGTCACTCCAAAAAACTTATTTCAACTGGAATTAGTTGAAAATCAGAATTGTAGTTTTCACCTATGGTTTTCACGTTCCATTTTATTTATAATTTTTGGTATAAACAACTCCACGGCAACGATTTGACGCAACCCACTTTATATGTATAGCAATCTTAATTACTTGAATTATTTTACTTTCGAATTTTTTCCTTGCCAAACTTTGAATGAAATCAAATTAAACGTTTGAATCAATGCAAATATTTGAATATCACAGATTTGATAAAAACAAAGCAAAAGTAAAAGTAACTGGATGCAAATACACAAGTTATTACGGACGTGTGGCGGCAAATTTAAAGCGGCACCAGAGCGCTATAAGAGTGTAGCGATAAAATCTTAATTTAATTCTAGAAGACAGCAGAATTACCCATAGGGGGCGTTGTAGCACGAGCGGAGTTTGGGGCTCCTGGCTGTGGCTGTTCTCCTACCCACGACGGTGAGTCTATCTATCGCAAGCACTGCCGCACAGCACCTCTCAATTACGAACATGCCGTACGAGCAGGCCCTTACGGTCGCAAACTCGTGGTTGGGTCTCGACTATTGGGCCAAGTCGACAGCGTCACGTCATCCCGATCGCCCCTGACTTCTATTCTAGGCCTGCATCCTTTGTGCAAATGGGGCGACCGCCCGCTCAACAAGGAACCGCGCACTTCGCTCCCACCACGTGTTTCTGTGTTATTTACCTCAATTCCATTTAAATGTTCAATTTCTATGACAATGATATTAAACGACAACTGAACAAGTGTTAAAGTTTCAAAAAAAGCAATAAACAACATTTAAATTCGCTATACACTCTCGTGAAATTTTAAAACAGCAAAGAATTCTTATCTGAGATTAAGATTGGACATCAGACAATTTATATGATGCAAATATTAATCAACAAAATATTTACATAAAAAAAACAACTAGCAAAGATTTATAAAACAAAAAAAAAACAATTTGGTGTGAAGTAAAACTTGTGCAGACAAAAATTACCTGAGGTTTGGAACTACAGACCATGTAAATTTACGTTCAATTTAAATTATACAGCAAAGAAAACAAAAAAAATTGTATGAGGTGAAAAATTGCAAAGCTAACAAAATTACATGAGTTTAATATTTTATGTCCATTCGAGTTATTGGTTAATTTTTAAAAGTGAAGTTATTCAGTTGCATGGTGGGCCATTATTTTACATTCGCCCAAACAAACACATAAAAAACATAGCAGACAATCTGGAGGTGTAAAATGGCGTCGGACGAATGCGTCCTTAAAAAAAAAGCGTCAAAAATGTGTCTCCCAGAAATGTGATCAATCCTGTGGCGCTGTGCAAATAATGGTCTAAATCAAAAGAATAAAACGCACGTCCCACATGACCCACAATGTTGTTAATTTGTTCAACGAGATTTTACAGTTCAAACATGTGCTCGGTTTTGAAAATAATGTTTCAAGATGGCCGCTGCCAGAACAAAGAATTTGCCTGATGTTAAATTATGCCACACTTTATCAACGATTCAAGCAAAGAATTTACATTATGTTAAATTATGCCATTATCCAATTTTCCAAATGATTAGTTGCTTAAAACAATTAGCTTTGAGAGTTTAAATCATGGACTGTCCTCAGCTTATCCCAAACAAAACACATGATAAATAAACATAAAATGTATCAGGCGTTGAGAGAAAAACTTCTCGGTGATGTAATTTTCCACGTTGCGAGAAAATGTATTGGTGATGTAATGATGATATGATGATAATAACTACTTAAGGGGAGAAATTTTCAATCCCCCCGTACCTCAGTGCACTATATTATGAATTCTACTGCACTTTCCACGGTCTTTTTTTCCGGAGTGGGACAACGTTAGATTGATTTAACTGCCGTAAATGAACTATTAGCAATCTGGTGTGAGGAATTCAGAAGTGTTATTATTATTATTGTTATTAATGTTATTACTGATTTGGAGCAGAGGCAAAAGCCTATTATGCTCGCCAGTTAGACAACAAATCCAGCAGATAGAACTTACTGCTACACTGCTAGTCTTATTAAAGATGTTGTAATGTAACACTTGAGTATAAGCATCCAGAAACCTTATTCATAATGAAAGATTGTTATCTTGACTTAGTAAATTTCATGAAATCTCCTAGCAAGTGCTGTTTCTAAACAACTCCTGACTGTTAAATTGTGTTAGAATCAGTTAATGGTTCAAATCCTAACATGAACTGTGAATTTATAAACAATAAAATAAATTTACACCACGTGTTACCGTCGTTCGAAAATTCGCATATTTCCGCTTCGAAAGACGCAAGTATTAGCTGAGGAAACTGTGGCATCATCGTTGTTACGATTAATTGGCTCTCCCTTTTTTTATTAACTACCAAACCAACTAAACTTAACCTAGCTAACGCACCACATGATTTCACACACAACAAATAAATCAAAAGTGACGCATCTCACCTCCCTCCCAAGCAGGCCATCTTCTACCAACCCTGTCACTAGTTACTACCAATAAAATCCCTAGTAACTACCAACTACCAGAAAATAACTAAACGTGCACATGGTTGCCTATGTTTAACGATTTTCTTGATTGAATTTTTTCTCAAATTCAAATGATTCAAATGCGATTTCGCGCCGTTGTTAATTTTTTGCAGCGCGAAATTTTGATTTAGATCTGGTCACCACAGTGTTATAATTTAAGTGATACACATTTTACAAAATCGTATTTTTTTTGTTAGTTTTAACTGTTTTAGTTTTTTCTTAAGGTCGGCAGAAAAGAAGTATGTAAAGAATGTACCTACATTTTTAAGAAATATCCCTTAATTTACAGCATAACCGTTAATAAAATCAATAAAAAATGAACCAAATTACATCCTGCAGTTAAAAATTCTACTCTGAAAACATTGTTGAAATATAAAAATATATTAAGTATATATTTAATAATACACTTAAATAATAAGTACTGAAGTGTAAGTTTTTAACATGGCGTATTAAATTTAACATGGGATCACAAGGAATCAAGGATCCCTTCGGTCACTTTTAAAAAATATACCTATCTCGTATTTTTAAATTGCAATTGTTGAAATCTCTAGGATGTTCGATGTTCCCCATCTACTTAAAAAGAACGAAACCAGGCCAGCCGCAGATTTTTACAAAAATTAAATCACGATAGTGGAGTAATTATTGTTACATATCAAAGTAGGCGGTAAATCTGAAGAAGTTTAATTTTTCAGAGGTATACAAAATATAGAACAGCTAGAGGTGGTGTTCATTGGTTTGTAACAACAAAACCGTAAGCATGAGAAATTAGAAACTTGACATTACTGGCCCACTTATTGGATCGTTCGCCGTTTCCTCTTTCAATCTTTCGGACCTTTGTTGCGAGTTGTCGCCATTCGTGATACGCCGAATAGCGATTTTAAACAACTTTATGGCGAGTGGCGTCACTTGATCTCACTCTTTTTTTCTTTTGGATTTAAATCTTACTTTTATTAGGACGACTTTAGGTACGCTAATTATGGATGAGTGCTAATTAATGATGCCTCAACATTTATTATTAGTCATTGTATTTGAATTTATAACAAAAACATATTTCTTCATATTTTGGTTTATTACTGACGCCTTTCTTACTCCTAAAAATATAGCGGGTGATCTCTGAGCGAGGCAATTGTACATACCAACGAGAAATGTAAACAGTAAACCCATGGAAAATCATACAACCATACTGATTACTGAGGATATTCTATGAGTAAACCTCTGACACTTCCCCTCTTTTTCCCACGATTTAATCAAGATTTAAGTGTTGTGTATAAATAGTACATATTTATATTAGTATTTTCAAATCGGAAATGATCAAAATACTATCGATGTGACAATTTTATTTACAGGCACTGCGTATAACAGTGGTGTTTTCAAAGGTCCGAATGAAATTATGCCTAGTTTTCCCTCAGGTTCTATTGAAGGACACCTTCGCAGTCTACGTTATATTTAAAATATCTTATTTACTATATAACAGAGTCAACTTGTTTACCTACTTTTTTGCTGATAACCTGTTCTGTGAGTTATTTATAACTGAAACTGAAATCTGAATGTCCATTATACACGGGCCATATTTTAAATCTCGTCTGTACCCTAGCGACCTCTAGCTTTGAAGAGAAGAGGTTGTTCTAGCTGGCACAAAAAGCAAGTAAAACAGCAAAGACAAACGAAACAGAATATCGGTTTCCCGTTGGCGGTTAGTTTTATCGCTTCCATCTTCCATTACAACAAGGAGGTAGGAAGAATTACCGTTATAAAAGTAGACAAATTTGTATTATGGTTTCAGGTGTGAAATTGTGTGGGAAGCATTTGTAATTTTTTGACTTGCTACTAAACTGTTATGTGTACAAGTGTTCCAAAAATTAGTGATTGTAATTAGTTTGTTGCGGTGTTTGAAATGTGCTGTAATAATTGTGTGCTCGTAATACATGTATACTGAGTTTTATTTACTTTAAAGCATTCGTTAATTATTTTGGATCTATTGATTCAAAGAAGTTGCAGAAGAAAGTCTTCTTGAAAAATTGTAAACAAGTTTGTGTGTCATATCATCTTCAAATTATTAAATATTTGTGTATTTCTAGAGAAATGTCAAGTAAACGTAAGAAGCCGCCAACAAAAAGAGGCCCAGCCAAACGTGGTAAAAGAAAAGAAGAAAGCGACGTTGATTCAGATTTAAGTGAAACGAGTGACAATGAAAACACTACTCAACCTGACGAAGTTCTCATTGCCGGACATGGAGACGCTCTCGATGAACCAACACAGCTACCTCAGGAGTTACTTAAAACATTAATCAAACCTGCCGGTCAGCTCCTTATGTTTGGCCTTGTCAATTGGGATCATACTTCAAACAGAACACCTAAAGAAGTGAAAGTCAAATTGCATCCAAACTTGTATGTCCCACATCGTTTCTTGGATGTTAAGGTGCGTATCATTAAGACAGTAAAACGTATATAATAGTATGTAATATATTGCCAAGTTTAGTGGTATGATGTGCCGATGTCATTTAAACAAGGTGCTTATAACATCCCATTTGAATAAATATAATAAGTATATACTGTCTGCACAGATTCGTAACCTCATAATTCAGTACACTTTACATTTTCATTCTGTAAACAAAAATTCTGCAATTTTCAGAAACTGAAAAACAAGTTTGTAGTGTTTACCCAAAATTGGAAATTACTGTGTAAATGATAATGTCAAAACGAAAGCAAAAAATATTGCTGGGCTCAGATAACGTGTGAAAAAACAATTCATAAAAAACATTCAGCAAAGGACAAATGACAATAAAAATAGATCCTTGTACCTTAAACTGATGTGTAGCATAAAAATAAATGGAATTCTACTTTAATTTATTTTATGGGAGGATTTGATCTCACAAGAAATTGAAACATGACTGGGATACTGGAGTGCTTTATAAAATGACAGCAATATTTTTAGTGTTGTGATGTACAGTTGGTTGCATTAAAAACGGGACAGACGTTTAACTATCATTTTATATACTTACAGGATTGCTAAAAAGAATGGATACACCTACATATTTCCAGAATGGTTTATCAAAACTCATTAAAATGTGGTGCACAGGTAAATGTATTTAAACTCTCAATTTTCTTAGCACAGCTAAGTTAAGGCGCCTTTTGTCGTCTTAATACAGTGTTCTTGAAGAAAATTGTTTTTGACATATCTATAATGAAATACAACTGACAAACTATACATAAACAAAAACTGTGAAGTATTGGCAGAAGTATCACATCTGAAAAATGTGGTCATCGAACTTCTGAGTATCGCTGATGGGTACATCTAATCCATAAATTGCCATTTTACTTGGATAGTAAATCCAAGTAAAATTGTTCAAAAGTTGTTCTTTGTTGAAGACGTTCAGTGATAAGATATAAATCTTTACGAAACAGTTACAGTTAATTACAAAATAAATTTAACGTTCATTTTACAAAAAATTAAATACATTGTGTTTAATGTAGGAAAAATAATGTGAAACAAAAAAGAGTCATGCTTCAAGGTGGTTATTTAAAACATTCAGGACCGGTTTGTAGAATTTGATCTGTTTAATTGATCACATGATTTAAGTTCATAAAACTTATAAATCGGATTTTGATTTTTTTATTATATGTACATATCAGAACATTTGTGAGTTTTATTTACTCTGTCGGGTTTCACAAAAATAATTTTGTTGATATTTAAAACATATGAGTTGTTTTCTATAGAGTGTCGAAATAGTATTTCCGTAAATAATCATTTGTGTACAAAGTGGCGGCCCAATAATATGTTCCATACCGTTTTTTTAAACATTAAATTTATTTTGAAAAAACATGTTTTTCATTTAGTTTGATTGTCATGTTGAAATTTATATATTTTTTAATTGCTCATGTTATCCCAAATAGAGATTTTTCAAAATTTTAACAAGCTGAACAAAGCAAATTAATATGATATTGTATGCAACACATGATGTTTACAAGATTCTGAAATTTCATTGCATATGTATACAGCGCGGCCAGAAAATCTTGGACGTCAATGCCAACCCTGTTGTCACAAAATGTGAAATATGTATCTTTAAGGCGAGTCCCTACCTTTTTCACTTCAATACATTTTCAGAAAGTAATATCTACATTATTAAGGGACCTTATAGTCATTAAATTTTAACCATAAGTTCACAACTTTCTGAGTCGCAGTTTTTTAGAGAAAGCTCTATACATTACGTGGAATGCATTGTCGATTTCTTTTCTTGAAAATGAAATGTAGCAAAAGAAGCCTCTTCGACGCAAGCTTCTTTTTAGTATATCCCATTTCCGAAAAATAATTGACAATGCTTTCCAGGTAACGTATAGAGTTCTGTAAATTGAAAACAGTAGTTAAAACTGCATTATGAAAGTTCCAAACAGCAAAATCTAATTTTATAATTTTTGAAAGAAACGAGGCAGTTCTGTCGACCAATTTTTTACAACTTTGATATCATGTGTAGAATGAAATAAACTCTCAAATGAGGTATCAGTAGGTTTGATATAATATTAAGCATAAAACTTTGTGATGATCTCATAAAATAAAGGGGGGCGGGGGAGGGGAGTTGTATGAGTAGTACACAAACTTTGGTTAATATTGTACTTACTATTTTCCCGATAATCTTAAGCTATTTATACTAAAAATTTGAAAAATACTGTTTCAAAAATTAACTGTGCAACAAAGTTAAGGTACGTCTTACATTTTCGCCTATTCTCAACTGGAAAACGCTCAGAATACATGAAATTAGACATTCATTAAAAGTATTCGATTGCAATATTTCCTTTAATGATTGTTTGGAAAATACATATTTTACGACTGTAAAAGAAAGAATTTGAAATGTGTGTTTAATGTTTATGTTAACATGAATTTCTTCGCCAACAGACAGCTGGACACGAGAAATCTGCATGGTCGTTGTGAAACTGTGAGAAAACAAGAAATTAAATATTCGCTAACAGTAATTTCTTCTTTTTATTAGTTATTTTTCGGGATGTAAAAGTGTGAAAAATTCGACGTTTTCAAAATACAGTATCGGTATTACTTGAACTTTTAAAGCGAAAGTTTAGTGTAAGTGATTTTACATAAAGGTAACTACAGAGTTTTATGCAAAATTACAGACCATTTGAAGCCTTAAAAATGAAAAAAATCTGAAGTATTATAGTTTTCAAATAGTGTAGAATTCTCAACATCTATTATATGTACAATACCACTTTCTTCTTTTTGGTGCTATAAACCAAAATATGCAAAAATATGCGTGGTGAAAATTGCAACTTTGGTGCGTAGCTTTTTGACGAATTTGCGTATCAAATAACCAAATAACTATTAATGTTTGTGATTTTTTTGTGCGGTTGGCAAGATATTTAAAATTTTGTGGTGGCATACCTGATGTAAATCTGAAATTTTGGACACCAATTCAGTAGCTCTCATCTTCTCATTGGTTTTTTAGGCCCACTCATGTCAAATTAACAACTGTGAAGTGACATGCTAACATTGCTGCCAATAATTCAAAATTGCCAACCCAAAAATTTGCTTCGATCGCTAAAGATTACCCGGTACTTGATATTTAAGTCGGGCAGACAGACACCAAATAAACACGACCATGAATTGAATCCAAAAAATAAACCTGACCTTAATTTTACTACATTCCAAGTTTTAAGTTCAGACTGCACTCAAAAGTTTTTACAAAGCTGCTGTAACGAGATCGTTGATGATTTGGTGATGTTACGAGGGCAACTAGAAATATCTGCCTAGCTATGAAAAAAACAGTTGACACTCTCGCCGTTAATATGTCAAATAGTGGCATTAATTATTCTACTCTTTATTCAAAAATTAAAAAACACCACCTGTTGAATCAAGTTGGTACCAAATAAAGGTCCTCCAGGACTTATTTTCATACTGGCAAATTGGTAGTACAAAAAACTTCAAATTTGAAATTTCATGAAAAAATGCCAAAACAAAATAAATTAAAACAACGTGTTTTGAATCAAAATCATGATCCTCCTAACTTCGTTTTTTTTTGACAGCACATTTTCACACCAAAAATCTCCCTAGACAAATATTATCGGTTGTGTCTTTGTACTATGTTGCCGGGCGAGTGGTCTTTTAATTTTTGAACAGAGAATTATAATTCATGGATCACATGACTCCATTTCTTCCAATAGAATTTATTCATGCCCTTAGTTACATGGCTATCATAGCGATAATAATTTTATTACCTTATTGTTGTCTGTTGCTATCTAAATTTTAAAACTGTCAAATTTGACAAATTTTAGAATTTCATAAATTTTTTTGTCGATTTTTGAGGACAAGCTCAAAACGACGAAATCAATTCTATTATCAAAAAATGTGTTAATTCATTATATTGTCATGTTGAATATAACTCGTGATATGATTAATAATCGAAGATATGGCTCGTGAAACCGAAGCAGCACATTCAACTCGTGCTTCTCACGCGTTGAATCTGCAGCTGGGTTTCACTCGAAATATCATCGATATTAGTCACATCACTTGTTATATTATAACTGATAATAACCCTGCACCGAAAACTTGAATTAAGTTGGATTATTCACTTGAGTTTTATAAGGTGTTACTTAAGAAAAATGAGCAACTTAAAGTTAGAGTATCGCAGCGTTATAAAGTTTCTCAGCAGCAGATGCAAATGCAGAGATGACTCAAAAGAGTGGAAGATATGGTCCTCGAGGATCAGCATGTGAAGGTTTCGACAATTTGCAAGACTAGGAATAACCGAACCTAGTGTAATAATAAACATATTGCATGATAATTTGAACATGAGTAAGGTCTCTGTCCGATGGGTTCCACGATTTGGAAACTGAAGAGAATTGCGACTTTTTGTCTTGGACGCAACCATGTGCCGGAAAAATGATGGCACAAGTTTTCTGGGACATTAGAGGCATCTTTCTTATTCAATACTTTGCCAATTTTGCGTAAGACAATTAATGACAATGAATATATGAGAAATGGTCCATGTTGGCCAACAGAGAAATGTTTCTGCTGCACAAGAATGCGACTATGCATAAGGCGGCTAAAGTCAGCACGTTGTGCAAGAATGCAGCCTCGTCAAAATAGATCAATCGCATTATGCTCCTGATCTAGCTCCATCCTCTTTTTTGTCAAGGGCATAAATTAATTGTAGAAATGGCACAAGTGCTTTGATATAGGGGATGATTATATTGAAAAATAAAATTATACACAAAATCATTGTCTTTTGTTTCATACAGAGGTAGTTATGTAATATATTTCGTGGCCCTCGTATTTTAGCCAGACACGGTAAATGTTAGCGTGATAAGTGATGAGATATGAAATCATGAGGGAATTCTCTAGCGGAATATGGAGGGTGTAATCTGCAGAACATTTTTGTACAGTTAATTTTTTAGTCTACCGTTAACCGTTAA